ATCAGGATTTCTTAGAACATGTGTGTACCAAGTTTTGTTCATGTTTGATGAATGAATACCTAAGCACCCTCTAAAAATTGGTTAATTTATGTAATAACAGAACTCGACCCTGGACTATTAACATATATGCCACACCACATGTGAAACCAATTAGTTTCATATATTTGTTTAGTGATTCTTGAGGTATCAGAAAGTTATACAGATCAACTTGGATATGCAAATCACTGGTCATGTGATGAGTTAAATTGTTTCTGAATAAATTTGTTGTGTATCGTCACAGTCCCCCTATCGAGAAGTACTGTCGTGTCATCAATAATTGGGAGTGAATAATAGACTAATTTAATTTAATAATTGACTTCTAAATTCGCAATCTAAGATATGGTCACAAACTTTTCATTTCTATTTTTCATATATTTATGCAATTTTTGTATTCAAACTCGAGTAAAGTGCATGTCTCCAGTATCGAAAACATGTGTCAGCTTATTTGTGACGGAGTTATCCAATGATACACATCAGTATCCTGGGGTTGGTTGAGGGCGATGTTGGATATCGCCATTTCAGAATTCCTGTGATCGAAATTCACATACACAATAATGGATAGTTTGAAAGTGTTATTTTTTCGCCCATTAGTAGGAAACGTTTCTCAAATTGTTTCTTTCTTTAGTTTAAAGTCGTATTCAAGATGGCTGCCCCGATATAGTAAGTGTCGATAAATTAATTGCAATTATGTTATTATCGCATGTACGCCAGCTGACTGTGATCGGAGTCGAGTTTCAACCCGAATGAATAGGCTCGTCTGAACACCACAAACATATTTTAGAATACGATGTTCTAAACTTACAGATCGGAATACGATATATTAAACATATTTGTCAATATTTCGAAATACCTTGTTTTAAAATATACCAGTACAGGTCGGTCAACATTGCGGAATATGCTAACTCTAAACATACAGGTTTATCAACATTTCGGAATACACTAATTCTAAACATACAGGTCGATCAACATTGCGGAATATGCTAACTTTAAACATGCAGGTTTGTCAACATTTCGGAATGAAAGTATCCATAAAGCATCTCCAATATTTGTCCCACCAAAATAGAGTTACAAAATCACCATGAACTAAATATGCATATGGACTTTGAATGATTTAGGACTTGTCCACCTGTAGTCCTCTATAACATGGGCGTAATACTAGACTGACCACATTTCCTAATCATATTTCTTTCAAAAAATTATCGTTCCCATATTTTGTCGAATGACTATTTCGTTGACTCACGAACGTTTTAATATTCTGTAAGGCCAGACTTTTTTTATTCCTTGGATTTGTTATGCCGCGGCGGGCGGTAAAAAATTGAAGATAAAAATAATATTTTTTAGCATTTGTTTGCACTTACAAGTCGGCGGGTGCGAGAAATTACGCTGAAATAAAATTATATTTTCATTTTCGGCTCCTGTTCATTCGGCGGGTTCGCGAAACAAGGGATAATAAAAGTCTGGCCTAAAGTATAAGAATAATACATAACTATTGTGCTTCTAAAATGGGGATATTGTTTCTTTACAATCTGATTGAGGGCGTTGTTTAGTTACTTTACGAAATACTGTAAAAAAATGTAGTTTTCAGCGAAAATTTCAAAATTAAAACTCAGTGAATAATTAATATATCTATTATATATTCCCATAACTGTTAAAATATTAGTTACATTTAATTATATGTAGCCTCACTTTGAATGGTCGATGCATGTACACTAGTAAAAAACGTTAATCTTAGCTTCTATAGAAGAGGGAGAAGAAACTGGAGCAGTACAGCGTATACCGATACGCGGTAGTCGTTGCGCCGCGCATGTCCGACATTTGTGTTGATAAACATGGATTTTCCCACAATCCAATGCGCTTTTCTAATGAAATTATGAGTACCAGTTTTGCCCTGGATGGCACTTGTGCTAATTACCGCTGGCGACTCTTTCGATACCTTCCAAACACTAAAACAGAATACTCATGATCAATTATGGTTCCTGTGTGAATTTAATGTAATGATATTAACAAGAGGCGGATGACTTATTGTCATGCCATATTGTTTCGTACACCAAAACAGCGACATTGCTAGCTATGTAGCTGACTTATTAACATTGCATATGTACTAATTGTATTAAATAGAAAAATCAGATGAACCCGCCTTTTATTTCGCCAACGCCAACAAACCACCAACTATTGCTTAGAGCGAATTACCATTAGTTCAATAATAAACATTTTTTAAAACTGAATAAGTCAGCCATCTTGAATCGGAACATGAAATAAATTACACGATGCGGAATGTAGTTGTAAAGTTTGACTGTGATCAGTTAATATATATCAGAAAGGCATTTGCATTCGACTATTTTGAATCTGATCTGTAAAATTATCCTGTTATATAAGAGTATATACACAAATGGGCAATAGCTGTTAACGCGTTACCGAGTTCTGCATGACAGAAATTCTCTATTTTTATGCATTGTTACATTAAAATGTCAACTTCGGCCATCTTGAATTGGATCTTCATACAAATGTTTGACATGACGTATGATGTATCTATGGCTCTGGAACAGCGTTCATTCCATAGTTGGCCATTTTAATCCAATCTGAAAAACTAAATGTCGTGCATAAGGTCCTTTAATATCCTATGTATGTACCAAGGTTGAACGAAATTCATCTATACAAGACGAAGTTCTGGTACCTGGGTGGAAGAAATGTTTGATTTTGATAAATTGATAACAATAACATAGTCGTCATTCGGCAATTTTGAATCTGATTACCAATTAAATGCATGTGCATATGTGAAGCAGGATATATGATGCATATTTTAACATGATTAATCAAGGCATGTCAGAGATACAGCTCCAAAACCACATTCATTAAAACAACGAAATGGCCGCCAGTCAGCCATTTTGAATCTGATCTTAGAAACAAAATGACGTGCATCAAGGTTTCATAATGTCCAATGTATGTACAAATATTGAACGAAATCTATTCATACGCAACCGAGATCTTGTTCGGCAATAACTGAAATGGCTGTATATAACTTTACAACGGTTCTGAGAGAAAGACGCGCCAGGCGATTAGGTTCCATACGTGAGCGTCGGTACGAATCATGCACGCAGTAAATGTTTACTTTGATTTGACATAGTATTTACCATGCCGTTTATTAGAAATAGTGAATCCCACAACGCAGGCCATCAGTCAAATGGTGCTGCCTACAATCGGAAGTGTAATTTCACCTCTGTAATTACTGACCACTTAAAAAAAACGCACAAAAAACATATCCATTGAATCATTAGTTGTAAATATCCTGTAAGGACTGCTACGAATGTAATGAATGCTACTCTACGTATTTACCGGTATCTTTGTGCCTTTTCATCTTTGTTGCACCGGAAATGAGCTCGCCAACTATTGTAAATGTGGTCAACGATTAATTGCGTATAAAGCTCGGGGATGTACTTTGTCGTCAAATTCGGCGAATTTCAACAGGCGTAAAATGGAATGGCTACTATATACTTTTTGTTGTTTGTGTGTATCCGATTTTTTGAAACTGTAATAGAATAGATAGTCTGTTCCAAAAAGTACTCCATGGCAACAGTGAAAGAAGTTATATTTATTTATTTGTTTGTTTGTTTGTTTGTTTGGTTTGTTTGTTTGTTTGTTTGTTTCATATTGTTAAATATACATGTATCACAGTCCCTCTATCGTGATAGAGGGACTGTGAATATATGAATGTTAGTGTTGGGGTATGAAATGAACATGGTTTTGGCGAGAATATCAACGCTAACATTTCTTTGTTTTGTTGTTCGCGGTTGAAAATACCAAATGCGAACAATCATTATCAATCCAATGTTTTGTTTTATTGTTCTTCCGTTTTTTTACACGGATCATGGAAAAGACATGTATTACTTCAGAGGCGGCGGCGCGCAATTTTGCATGAGGGGCGAGATCTGAAATGTAGACCCTCTGAAATATATTTTCTGCATATAGAGGGACAAATTTTGCCGACACAAAGGGTTTCAGTTGGATTTTCGGAGGGGCGACACGCTATGGCCATCTGACGTACGCGCAGATGACGACTTCCAGGCTTTAACAGTTAACAGAACTTTGAGTTACGGGCAAGATACATTTTTGTTTTTGTTGAACGTCCAGATTTAGTAACTTCAAACTCAACTTCGAGTTATGGGTAAAAAAAATAACACATTAAAATAAAATGTGTCACCCATAACTCGAAGTTCGGTTAACTGTTAGTTGGTCATCGAGTTACAATTTGGGCGTGTGTTTCTCAAGGGTAGGCGTGGTTTTTAAAACATGGACGTGGTCATTTTTGTAACTCGATGTTTTCGTAACTCGATGTTCGCAACTCAATATCCGTAACTCGAACGATTCGGCATCTCTCTGTTTTGACGCAGATGCTGGATTGTTCGAGTTACGGGCAAAACTATGAAAAACTACAGCTAAACTTTTAATTGAGATTACTTGTCGCCAATTCATTGAAATTACGCCAAAAAACCGAAATGTTAGAATCCAGAAAATATTATAAATTCATTTGGCCTCTGATCACCCCATTGTTAGTTCATTATACGAGTTCATGAGATCCATTATTTTTCCGAACACCTAATGAGTTACCTGCGTCGACCTTGTCTGTCATGTGGTGGCGCTGTGCTGGTCGGTTCTCGTCGTACGGTCGACGGTGATTCAGCTAGTGTGTGTTAGCGTGGGTGTGAATTCGTAGAACGATCACGGTACATAGGTAGTGTAGTACCACATTTCCTATATCACAGGTAATAGAGGGACTGTAGTAGTACGCAAAGTACAAGAATAATTTATAAGTCTTATCTTCTGTACCAGTTCAGTAATCACAAACTCATTTTGCCATGTTTACGTTCCCGTATTATTGAAAAGCTGCTTTAATAATTAAATTTATACATGTTTTTATATCCCTCCCAGCTTGATCTTTAAATTCTTTCCATCATCACCCCCATCATAAAATGGTTGGTGCCTGGATGGGGGGTAGTCCATGTCGTCACTTTCCACGCTGTATTACCGGATGCAATGATGGCGGACAAGACAGACCTTTCACTTTCACGAAGGAAAAACGTACATGAACGCGAAGAGAGAAATGGTCACTCCGAAGAAGTATGCGACAAATCAGCCACAGAAAGGCTACTGGTTCTTCGACTAGACGATGAGGGACATTCCGATTTCGTCGAGGATCCCATCCCATCATGTTTACAACCTAATCAGAACGCGGTAAGTTTCATAAAAAAGTTTCAGACTAATCACACGACGTCACATCGATTTTATTCCTTTTGCGGTAGAATAGGATGCAAATGATTGTTCACGTTACGATGCGATCTCCTGTGTTACAGTACAATGTTTGTCCCTCTTACGTGAATACCACTCAGTAATCCAGAACGTGTTAGACTAGCATACAGTTTCTTGCAGTCTACCCGGCTTTTGCTTTCGGTAGTTATTCACTCATAAAAAACAAACATAAGACTGTCCATACAATCAGGTGTGGTTGTGCATGGGTATCATGAACAAACGCTAAATTTTAAAGTGTTATTCCCTCATGCAGCGATAATTATGAACCGCAGAATGTGTTTGGGAGTAGGTGAGTGGTGAGCTCACTGGATGAGATCAGAAATCATAGTCGTATATAGAAGCAAAATTTATCTCAATCGGAGGTGGGCACAAAAGCCAGCAACTATTTAATATTTAAAAGAGAAATACAGTGCACAACTACAGTGACGAGCACAACAGTGCTTTGCTTATAAAGATATTTATAACAATTTGTAAATATCGATCATCAGTTTTCATTCAAATTAAAATATTTAATAGTGATTGGCACAAGACCTGAAAATTGTCTACACCAATAATGCACACACATGCCATTATGTGACAAAGCAACAGCGATCACTTCACCCACTTAGTCAAAATAAAACACTTGCCGAATGAATAATATTGGATAATGTATAACAAACTTATTAATAATAATTAGAACTAATGAAATCAACATAACTTTTGCTGGATTGGTTAATTTGATAGATAGATAATATTTATTTAAACTTGATAACTCCAGTACCTATTTTCATGAGAGGGGGGGGGGGGCAAAAACAAAAAAATGAATAAAAATACAAATGTACAATCCATAAAAATTATTCTGATGGAAATTGTGAAAAAAGTACAGATAAAAAAAATGACAAACTGAGATCACCCATACATGACAGTCCATGTTCTAGAAACAGGCAATAACGGGTGGACAGAGGGGCATACATTTTGGATGGTGAATATTTAAAAATGGGAAGTCAAGCCAAACATAATGCTTGCTGAAGAATCAATGATGAAAAGTTAAATATCTAGAGAATAAAAAGTGATATGAAAAAGCTGTAAATTGTGTTACATTTGTCGAACTCTTTCATCTGGGAGTATTATTTTGTTAGACTTGACTTTTCTTTTAACAAACATTGATGAGACCACAGTGTCCCTCCAATGTAATAATGTGGAGGGACTGTGATGGGACATAATAGGGAACCAGCCTATGAATAGATTTAAAAAACACTGAAAGACTAATTTAATTTGAATTTAGTTCCAGATTATGATTTATTGTTGGTGCAGTTTGGTTCAGTGTCTAAAATAAATTTCATTGATCGTCTCTGGAGGACGATCTAAGATTTGAATAACATTAACACTTGCTCCAGACAGTAGAACATTACGACATAGGTGGAAAAATAAAACAATTCAATAACACTTTCCTGGAAAATGTATCTAGTGAAAAGATATAACCTGCTTTTCGGTTTTATTGATGTGATTTGGAACAACCAAGATTGTGATTAATACAACACCCAGTGACATTTCATTTGACACATATCACAGCTCTTTATTATTGAGAATAAAATTAAAATTTGACAAATCGATAATGCCCATTCGTCTATTAGTGGTGATAACCATCGACTTTGATTTAAGCACAAGTATTAGGTGGGTGTACATTGGAAAATAAGGCAGGCCTTAGACTTATCCAAATTTTAGACTTGACTAAATTGTATATGTGAACACAAACCAAATTATTTAGGCTAGCCTAAATGAGTCACACCTCGGAAGTTGAGCCAGAGCTTGCCCTAATTTTAATCCCCAAATTAGGCTGGCCTAACAAACAAAAAATTGGAGCAGGCCTTATGCACGCTAACTGTTCAACTCACACCAATTATTTACAATGTTAAGATTTCAATGATTTTTTCAGCAGTATAGGACATTGTGATATCAGCAAAAATAATATAATAAAATAATAATAACGCATATCATTCACAAAAAGAATAAAAAGTAGAGGGCAGAGGATTTACCTTTGGTGGACACCAGCTTCTACACTGTTAAAGCATGACAATTTGCCTTTAAAGTTTACACATTGTTTGTACATGTCCAATTATGAAGTAAAGAATGACATGGTCTGATTATTAGTCCCTGTTCGGGGACTTATAATTCGGTCTCCGTCCGTGCGTCCGTCCGGAGTCATATCTCAGAATCTCTTGGACCGATTCCGTTCATTCTTTGCATGTGCCTAGTACTTTATGTGGGACATATGCACATGCAGTGGTTTAGCGATTCGATTCAAAATGGCAGACTGGCAGCCATCTTGTTTTTTGAAAATGTTGTATTTTGGACATGCTTTGTCAGTTTTCATTCAAACTTGGTACATAGATTATACATGTTAGGATACATGTCCATATCAATTTATTTCACAATTGGATCAAAGATGGCAGACTGGCAGCCATCTTGTTTTTTGAAAATGTCGTATTTTGGACATGCTTTGTCAGTATTCATTCAAATTTAGTACATAGATCATACATGTTAGGATACATGTCCCGACTGTCGGTGAGTTCCTGAGTCTGTCCGTCCATTCGTCAGTCTGTCCAGAGTCAAATTTCAGAATCCTGTGGACCGATTCTGTTCATTCTTTGTATGTGCCCAGTACCTTATGTGGAACATATGCACATGCAGTGGTTTAGCGATTCGATTCAAAATGGCCAACTGGCAGCCATCTTGTTTTTTGAAAATGTTGTACTTTGGACATGCTTTGTCAGTTGTCATTCAAACTTGGTACATAGATTATACATGTTAGGATACATGTCCATGACGATTTATTTCGCAATTGGATCAAAGATTTGTCGACTGGCAGGCATCTTTTTTTTTTTTTTTTTATGCGGTATCTTGGACGTGCTCTGTCAGTTTTCATTCAAATTTGGCACATACATGTACTTTATACATGTTAGGATGCATGTCCATGACAATTTGTTTCAAAATCTGGTCAAGGATGGCCGATTGACAGCCATCTAACTTTTTGGCTTTACTACTATATTTCTACAATTTATCTACAATTTATCTACCATTTTCATTCATATTTGGCACATACATCATACATATCAGTGTTTCATAATCAGATCAAAGATATTACTACCACATTACTACTACACGGAACACGTGTTTTGATGTAAATAAACAATCTGTTGTATATGCCACTTGGAACTCAAGTTTCAAGGACATGCTCGCGACAACCCCTCCGCTTTAATATGACAAGCACAAAGAGAACTTTAAAAAATTTAATGGGGACTGTGTCATTTTCAATGACTTGTTAAAACCATTTTAATTTTTGTCATCAAAATATTTTGATTCACAAGGTCAAAGGCCTTGCCAAGATCCATTTTTTATAAATTTATATTTTCCCCAGGTGAGGATATTTAGCTCTGCTGTTGACTTTGTCGAGCTGAACTTATATGAGTGATTGCCCATTGTCGTCCGTGTCAACTTTTTACTTTTTCGACTTCTTGAAAACTACAAGCCTTTTTGCTTTGATACTTGGTATACATGTATCTTGGGTAGACCTCTCTTAGATTTGTTTATTTCGTAATTGTATCTTCAATTTTTTAATTTTGAGTGACATTTCCGAATTGTTTTTGCAAACAGCAAGTCTGATTGTTTTGATACTATACATATAGGTACCTCGGGCAGACCTCTCTCAGATTTGTTCATTTTCTAATGATATCAGTTCATTAATAATTGAAATGTGCATCGCTAACAGCAGAGCTATCTCACCCGAACGGCTGCTTGTTTTTAAATATATTTAATTACAATTAAACAAAGTATTTATGGTACTTTGACATTGTAGTGAGGATAAATAAATATTAATGAGTTCAATGTCATCCAATCTGTTAATGCTTTAATTTGAATAGAGTGGTCGCAAATAATGCTTGTGTATACAATGTGGGTGTCAACAATGTTGTTTCTAACTATTGATGTATGCATGAAGTGGTACGATATGTGCCATATACCACATACAATACGATATTTACAAGATATCCGGGTCAGAAAATGTTTGCAAATAGTCAAAAATAGACAAGTATTTCCATAGATTCAGATGCGAGTGAGATTTCAGCATCTCTGCTTAACATAAAGTCCATTGAATTGCATGCAATATTTTCTGCCTTATGATTTGCAATATAAATATAATCTTGTTAGAATTTGATGTGAAGCCACAGAAGAGGTTTGAGACATGTACCTGCTCCTTGTGTACATTTAGGCTCATTCTAAATTTATATGACAACACACTGCATTCAAGCAAACCCTGACCATGGAACATTTCACACTTTTTAGATTAAAGTGTTAAATCATGATTTGTAATTACATTGTATGGCAGTATTATATTAGATTGGCCAAATAAAATATAGATCAAGAAGGCTCTGACACACGAATGCTGTTACTACTGATTTCAGCAGATTATATTTCATTTTGAAATAGGAAGTGTAAACAATAAGTTCAAAGTTTTATGTTGTATTTGACAATACCACTATTTTCAAAATGTGATGTTATGCAATGAAACATATATAATGTTGACAAATCACAGAACTTCTTTTCTTTGCAATTATGTAACAGATGTTTTGTGCTAGTAATATAGTATATTTTTTTACTGTATTGACAAGAATTGTGGTCCTCTTGGTCACAGCACTTTGAGCATTGGTGGGAACTAGTGCCAGTCCTGCTTTAAATGTGTCAGCACATGCCAATTCGTATATGTTGGCTTTCAAAAAAATTATCATATTTTGTTGTTTATTTAGGATTTGCCAGAGTTACCAGAGTTGGGAGTGTCTAGTGTTAAAGTCCCACATCCAGACAATGATCCAAATACACTTGTTGACCTGGGCATGACATTTAAAACTGAATTGGTAGAATCTATATACCAACATAGTGTTGTAGAAGTAGACGATGGTAGCTTGGCACATCGACTTAACATGAGGTATGTATTATGTTATATATACCAACCTTTGTTGAATGTTAATCAGTTTGGCAAAAATCAAAAAATTTGAAAAAATGTCAAAATGTCATCATGCATGTCTGGGCAGATTTTATTCAAACATAGCATGATTGCCTGCACACATGACAGGTTACTGCAGATGCAGATAAGTTTATTTTGTGATTTCATTCAAAAGGGCCGACTGACAGCCATGTTGATTTTATTTTCACACGTCTTTAACCATTTCCTTGACATGGTTTGACAGATATAGTTCAAATTAAGTATATAATGGTATACATGTATGCATGTTGATTTGTTTTTCATTTTGATGACATCTGACCAATCTATGGCCATTTTAGTTAAAAAAACAAAAACATTTGAGCATGTCATCTGCAGTTTCTAAAGCATACATGTCAAGACAACATTGAACAACTCAAAAAGTAAAAGATTCTTATTTTAATGACTATACATTTTTAACATTTCCTACATCTATTTTCATGCTTCCAGCACCCTCTAAGTATCTCATGATGTGTACAAGTGAATGTAATGATTACCATGTTATGATTCAATATACATTGTTTTTATAACCTTTGTGTTCGGCTTTAAATTTCAACACCTTGTCAAGTGAGGGTGGCACCATTTTCTTATAGAACAAAAGTGTAGTCAACTGGGCACTATTGTATTTCTTTCATCACATCTAGTACTACTGACTGCCTATGTGACTTCACGTTTTAGTTCATTACAGCCACCGCAAATGAGATTCTTATGAGTTCCAATAACTCCATCAACTTCCCCAAGACAGTTGAAGCGACTGCAAATAAAATTTGTATTGATAATTTACAACTTCATTTGTATAGTCGCAACATTGTTGTAATATGAAAACAGACAACTTAGCCATAGAACGTACCTAGACAAAAATGAATTAGCCTAAAAACAAGTGGCATTTTCATAACATAAGATTGTTTGATACCCCAAATAAGAAAGTCCTTCGCTGTATTGCAATATTCTCAGGGACTTTCCTAGGGAGTTCGTTGACTTCTCGTACAAATCGTGTTTGTGCCTGCTGTAACAAGATTTTTTACATTTATGTTGACAGGAATGGTGATATTATTCACAAAATTAATGATTTTCCTTTGTTTGATTGTGAGCATGGTGGAGTACTCGATATGTTTTACAATCTTGATGAGGAATTTGATGTGGTAGGTGTACCTTTACTGAAAATCCATCAATATGAATTACATTTTTTATCACAATCATCTACGACAATTTTTATAGAATCTTTATAAACTTTACCATTTCCTATCTGTTTTGTCATTTCACAAATTCCATGGTAAAGTTATCCTCAATAATCAAACGTTAATGTTGTCACTTGTACAGACAATTAGAAGACAGACAGAAGACAATATTGATGGTGGTGATAGTGATGATGATCAGATGATGTATGTATTCACAAAGTTCAAATTGAAAATGGAAATTACAAGTGAGTGTTTATATACTTGAGGCCAAGTAAAAATTCCTGGTCAATTCATTCTCCAAAATCGAAACCCATTTTTACCTTGCCCGAATCATAAATGAGGAAGTGGAAGTGGATGTTTTTGTCCGCGGCGTCATGTCGTCGGTCATGTTAACTCTGGCTTGTTAGTGCAATAAGTCAAAAAATATTTATTCAACTGTTTTCATTTTACTATATATTCTGATTTAATATAAATACTTAGCCAAGTTCAAAGTTTGTGTGTCTAGCTGTTATATTTTTTTCAGATATATGTAAAAAAAGTAGCTTAAAATCTCCATTGGTTCTAAATGGAATCAGCCTCAACTGACAGACCTGGGTTCAATTGTGTTCCCTCTTTGTTTCTGTTATTTAACTGTTTGTATTTAATCCTTTTGTATAAGCAACTGATTCTTCCTATTTTGTTTGTTGATATTTTTTGCTCTTTTTAAGAAATTGAAATCAGGGCTCTCTATTCAAAGTAGTGCTAACGTGAGTCATCTTGCGTGTCATACACCCAAAATGCTTCAAAACACTTCAAAGTTTAAATATTACAAAATATAACAAAAGGTATAGGTGGTTATAGTTCCGCTATGTTTCTGTTTTAAAATTGTTCTTTTTGATTTTCATAAAAATTATAATGAATGTTTTTTTTATTTTTTCAAAATTTTTTTAACTGATGATGCAGGATGACGAGAATTTATTTCTTGGCCGAACAAAAAGTTGTTTAACTATTATCTTCTTGAATACTAGCGACTTTTGGACGTTTTCACAAATTGCATCATTAGAAGGTTGACAGAAGGCAGCAAATTTTAGTGTCGCACCCATAGTTTTCTCTTGTAAACTTTGGGGCAACAGTCGCTTCCTGTCCCTTGTTGTGAGATTGTGTAAGTTGTTGCCACATTGTTTGTAAGTTTGTATGCTGTGCTCAACCTTGTGTGATAGTGACATCCCCCGTTTTCATGAATGGTCTCGCCCATCATCGGTTGTTTACTTCTAGAACACTGTCATGTGATCATGGCGAACCTCGTAGGAAACAGTGGAATCTGTACAAAGTTGTTATGAATGATGTGACTCGCGCAAAGCAATGGGCTGAGTACGCTTCAACGCTAGATCAGAACTTAGCGAG